ATTTGTAAATTCGTATTATATAAAATCATAAAATATTATTCGTTTATTTTTTTCAATAATTTATGTTTTTACAAAAAACTCATCATTAGTTTCACTCTAAATGTGAGTTTTACTAGACCCAGTATTAGTGCTCAATATAATCTGAAATACAACTCAATATTCAAATATAACTCATATTTAAATACAACTTGATATTTAAATACAACTCAATATTCAAATAAAGTAAGATTTCAACAAATATAGATTTGATCAGTTATATATATATATACGTACATATATATACAGCAACTGATTTGATTTATGAACTGAGTATTAATTTTTTGTCTGTGTTGAGTACTACCTATTACTATATTCATAATTTATAAACTTAAGTTTTCCTTTTGTTAGCATACATTTTTTCTAAGACAGGTTTAACACTTCAAGAATAATAACACATTTGCATTAAGAAGTCATAAGACACTTATTGTATGAATATGTATGAAAGAATCACTTGCAAACTTAAATAAGTTGAACCAAATAATATATTTCTATTAAGAATTTATGTAGATATTTATCTTTTAATGGATAGATATGAAAAATACCTTGCAGATTTAAATAAATTATTAGAAATTGAACTAGCATTAAAAAGCCGTGAAGCTGATTAAGTTGGTTAATATATCTATATCTATCAGTGCTTTTATTAAAAAATATCAAATATGGTGTAGATTTTGGCAATCTGTATTAGATGGTATTACAATTTCTATATTGAATTGGGAAATAATACAGTCATATAAGCCTATCATGATGTGGTTTTCAAATTCATGGTTTTTAAAGTTGACCTTTATATCTAACTTTTTTTGATCAAAACTGAATATATGCTTACAAATTATATTTATAGGCATGTAGTTGAAGGATGGTGAACTTTAAGTATATAGAGTAACTCTAAATACAACAAAAAATGAAGAGGTTAGTTTTGAAATTGGATCTAAAAAGATGAAATCTATGCAAATTGCAACTGATATAATACTTCTATTCTAAGTTTTGTATCAGAATGTGTCTCTCAAAAGACAGTACAAGGATGGACAAGTAGAGATGAAGATGCTGATAATTTGAGTAGGATGGGTAAGACAATTGTGGATATGTGGTTGAAGGAAGTTACATATCATGATGGTAACACCTTTTGCTAAACTATCTGAATTGGCCCAAAAATATGTAAAAAGATTATTATTATAGAAGGATAAGTTAGGTTTTTTTGAGATTTTTGTTTCAGTAATGCAAGCAATACTAATGTTATGATCAAGACAGTAATTTTGCTAAGTTTCTCTTTTAGTGATTGTGTTAAAACCACAAACATTATGAGTTGTGATATTAAAGTGCAAATCTCTATTATGGCTGGGCTGTTGAGTAGTGATATAGTTAATAGGAGTATTGTTTGTAGGAACTGGAGATAGAGTAGGTGAGTTTGAGGCCTCATCACAAGGATTTTGTAAAAATGAAAGTAGTTCTGTAGGGATAGATTTAGAATCATCTAAGCATATTTCATTGTTAAGTATATCATCTATTCTATTAGTAGATATTGGTAAGAATATATTAGTAATGTCTATAGATCTGTAGGAGTTAGTATAAATAGAGAAATATTTATGTGTCACAGAGTTAAGTGATATAGGGATAACTATACCGAAATCTGTCTTAATAAAACACTCGCTTTTCACCAATATGTTTTATACAAAAGCTTTTTAATACAGAAGTTCTTGATTATTTAATTATTACAAAACTTTCTATCAGTCACTCTTTATACTTTATATTTCTTACTTATACATTATACAGTATTGCATCATTACATATATGATTACTAAAACTAACAATTACGCTATTACATATAGGTTAAAATTAACAAATAGTTAATTTTAACTTCATTATTACTTTTACTGACATAATTAATATTGAACTTTTTTTCATTACACATGTGACAATAAGTGTGTGTTGATTGTGATTTTAAGAAAATGTCATAAGAATTATATATAAATAGAATATAGTGATTAGGAAGCATTTTGGATTCATAAGATAAATATATATATACTTCTGTTTTGTTACTATTAATAGTAATCAAAACATAACATGCAAGATGCTTAGCATTGTTTTGTATTAGATGTTGTAGAAAGGAGTTGACAATTTGTGGTTCTCTTAGTAGAGGAAGTTTGTAATAAGTAAGAAATTTGTTGTAGCATAATTCCAAGTCATAGAAGTCTAGTGATATTGGTAATAACTTGGATGGATGTTTTTTTAAAAAGTTGCTCACTGTTTTAAGCTCGGTTCTTATAGTTGCGAAGGATTTCATAGTCTGCCATATATGTTTAGTCTGACTGTTATTATCTTGATTCTCCGCATATAGAGGCTTTACCACCCACCTCCATACCTCATTCCTCTTACTAACTACAACGGATATATCTTCTAGTAAGGTGGTGGCTGCATTAATGTCTTTACAGAAGAACTTAATTGTTTATATTAATTGTTCATATTGTCTATACATTATTCCTATTTAAGAAGTTATTTGTTTTGTGTTTAAGGTGTTTGTGTATAGTGATTGTTTGTAACTTATTGTTCATATTTTGTATTTTAGTAATGAGTATTGTTATATAGTCCTACTCTATATATACAGGTATAGACCCTTATATGGTCTTATTATATCTGTCTATCTCACCATCAACCGGATATATGCTATACTTGGGATTTGCAAGCAGTTCTTCCTAATTGGTGCTCCTCAGCTCATTTATGCGTATCCAACCAGAGTCAGATACTTCCAATCATCATTGGTGTGACTGAAGATTATAGCATACACTCTACACTCAGCATGTCCAATTAAGTTGATATCTCCATCCCACAGGATCTGCAGATTTTCGATAATTCAACAATCATCAATCAGTAGGAATTGAACTCTAGACCTGCCACTTGGGGGTGACAACTTGACTACTTCACTAAGTCACTACACCCTTTCATTATAATTATTGTATTAAACACAATTATTACTAGAACCTACAATAAATATGCAACAGGTTCTTAATTTTGATTAGCCAATGGCTATAATTAGCAAAATTTTGGGCCACATTATATTTAACTTAGACTAGAATTAATTTTTAATTATTTAATTTCATAATAAAAATTTTTAGAATATAGATTTGTTTAATAGTAAAATTAGTTCAGAAATGTTGTGTGGTTGTGATTTCATTAGTAAAATTTTGAATAATTTTGGTCTTAATTTTGATTGTTGCCATTAGCCAATCAAAATCATGCATTTTTGTGCAAAGATAAGGTAACAGCATGTCTAAAGATTTATTTTTGTAATACTCATATGTTATAGATACTAGTTGTTAGATTCATATTTGTTATGTCAAAATAAAAATTAGTTCTAAAACGAATATTTATTAACTAATCCGATTGGTATACAGGTGAAAATCATAAGAAAAGTTTTGTGCGTTTCATGTCTTATTGTACAATAATTATTCATTATTTTTATAACATGTTATTAAGAATATAACACCGGTCAACCGGTCTACTAAGCCGCTCTGATTGCTTAGTATCGGTTACGATTAATAACCGATATAAACGGCTATAACGTAACCGAACCTATCCCTACCTATCCATCATCATTATAGTTTGCTTGTAATTCGGAACTTGTTTGGTTTTTATGAAGCGGGATATAATCTTTTAAAAAATTGGCCAGAGTTAGCATTGAAGACCTAATTTTAGGGCTCAATTTCAGTCAGGTACTACTTTAGATATATAAAGTGGCATCACTAGATAGGTTGTACATACGTAAATATCCTGATGTAACATTATCATCGTATTTTTCAAAAGTCGAGTCTTAAAAGCTATAATAATAAACCTAAAACCCAAATTTTGATTTTTTTTCTCTAAGCCACTCAAGTTTGAATTTCTTCATTTACAAAAATGGGCACGTTAATGCCAGATAATATTGTATTAAATTTATTCATAAAACACCTCTATTGATCATAATCCGCTGAATCTAATATATGTTGTGCGTCAAACCAATATCTACGTCAGGTTAAAATAATTATAATCCCGCTAATAGGAATGGGTTCGGTCACAAACGGTCACAATTATTCATAGTCAATTTCCTAGATGCTGTGATGATTTTTTATTTTTAAGCTTTAATTAAAGTTGTTCAGAATTAATTTCTGTTCATCCCATCTTATAAGTGGAAAGAACGATATCTTTTGTGGAACCCAGAATTTCAAAATTTGTTATTACCGTTATAAATGATTGACCGCCGGTCATTGACCGGTTATACGTTGACAAATTTTGAAATTCTGATTTCCAGAGAAGGTATCGTTCTTTCCACTTATAAGATGGGATGAACAGAATTTAATTTTGGACAACTTTAATTAAAAGCTCAAAAATAAAAAATCATCACAGTATTTAGAAAATTGACTATGAATAATCATGACCGTTTGTGACCGAACCCATCCTTACTCATAACTATTACTGTAGAGATGGAAACAACAGTTTACGACAAAAAATTTCTTTTATCAAAGTTAATGTCACTCATGGCTGCTAATGGGAGTGGCATTAATTTCGATAAAAAAAAAAACTAAATCGTTATTTTTCATCATTTACAAATATTGTACACTTAGATAATTCCTTGATGGATATATCTAGTGTTGGCAAATAGAACAATAGAACAAAAGCTCAAAAATATCTTTTTTTATTAAAAACTAATACTAAAAATTTACAATAGAAAAATAAAAAAATGAATAACATAGTAAACGTGACAACCCTGGATATATCGATAAAAAAATCAGCGTAAATAAATGTCATATTGATTGATTTGATTGATGAAAAAGAATCATTGAAGGGAAATAATAGTTAGACGCGAATTTTTACATTTTATCTAACAGTCAAGTTAATTAATTTAATAATATTAAAACTGGTTATAAAGATTACCTGATATAAAGATAATCTATAAAAAATATATGAACATAAATGAACACAGAAAAATTTTCTCAAATTGGGTCATTTGGTTTATTTGGATCATATCCAAGAAAAAGTAAAGTAGAGTTCATTAAAGGATAGGTTCCACCTACATAACCAGGGGAAATGTCGGATTTGTCATTCACACCTTTAAACTGCACAACAGTTTGTGGAGTAATAGAATAGCCAATGATTTCTCCGGCAGCGACAAGATTAGGTATATCAATATCAACATGGTTTTCTGGTTTATCAATGTTAAGCTTTTCTATTAACTTCATGGCTCCTTTAGCTGTAACTGCATAGCCGTGTAAACATTGTGCAAATCCTAATTTATGTAGGACATGAACGGTTAAATTGGTTTCGATGTATTTGCTATCCCGCTCAGCACAATCGCCAAGGTACAGTAGTTCCCAATCATCAGGTAAATTACGATGAACTTCAGTCATAATATCGGTAATATTAAGTTCTATATCCACGTCATCTTCAAAAATT